TTAATGGTTTTGTTCACTACTAAAACTTAGAGAAGGAAGAAGCTTCTTTTTTAATTTTTTTTTTTTAACGCTTATTCATTTTTGAGAGACAGAGAGAGACAGAGCATGGCGGGGACGGGGCAGAGAGGGGGAGACACAGAATCTGAAACAGGCTCCAGGCTCTGAGCAGTCAGCACAGAGCCCGATGCAGGGCTCGAACTCACAGACCGTGAGATCATGACCTGAGCTGAAGTCGGACACTCAACCGACTGAGCCACCCAGGCGCCCCAAGAAGGAAGAAGCTTCTAAAGGAGAAACAAAATGAACAAGACTTAAGGTTCAGTTTGACTTCATGTTTTTGTGGTGTCTTGTTGAATTGGAAGGTTTCTCTATATGCATTCAAATATGCTTTTACTTTAAATGTCGATGTTCGCATGACAGCTTATGATCAGCTGGGTGGCTCTTTTTGGTCCCCAGGATGTGAGACTATGTAGACTGGCTTTGAAAATATGAAAGCAGCATAACTGTTTTAACTTTAATTAACTATTCCTATATACTCAAAAACTTAGTCTAAATTTATTTTTATTTAAATCATTTTGTTTTAATCCAAGGGGCAAAAATTACAACCATTTCTTAACAGTGCAGAATTATAAATAGTTAAGAACATTGTTTTTAGAACCAGACAGATTTATGTGGAATTCTGGAGCCGCCCTTTACTACCCGTGTGACCTTAGTCAAGTTAATTAACTTCTTTAAGCCTTTTAATCCCCATCCATGTATGGGATTATAATGTGTCTAAATAACATAATACATGTTGAGTATCCAGCACAAAACAGATACCTAACTATGAAAAACTGAAAGATGCCAATGAAGGAATAAGCTTAATAAAAAGTGCTTATTTTAAGAGAAACTGTATTTTAAAAACTTATATCATTCGGGGTGCCTGGGTGGCTCAGTTGGTTGAGCGTCTGACTTCGGCTCAGGTCACAATCTCATGGTTCGTGAGTTCAAGCCCTGCATCGGGCTCTCTGCTCATGGCTCAGAGCCTGGAGCATGTTCCGGATTCTGTGTCTCTCTCTCTCTGCCCCTCCTCAGCTCATGCTATGTCTCTCTCTCTCTCAAAAAATAAACATTAAAAAAATAATAAAGAATTGTATAAAAACATCTATCATTCTACACAAATAGTTTTGCAAAAGTTTCCACGGGGTCACCATTAAAGTTCTGTAATAATTTCAAGCCAACAATAAAACACATGGATCAATAAGCAGGGCTCAGACGTGTACCAAGCCCAGTTCTTACCAAAAAAAATCTTACAAAAACATCTGGCTGTTTTAAATGCCTTAGAAAATGCAAGCTGTTGTTTGGGGAGCAAACTTTTTCTCTTGAAAACATTGGATGGTGACATAATACTTGCTTTGGAAATCTACCGTTTGGCCCTTACGTACCACGGATCTCTGGTGTGAGCTGAAATACATTTGTAGGCAGAAAATGTTTGTGAGCCTAGGGGTGATTCAGAGGTTGGAATGGCCCTCGGAGGAAAAGAGCAAAATCACAGTAAACACAAGATCACTTTACCAAGATGTCCACATGCAGAAAAGTGAGTACAAGTTGCTTTGGCTTCACCAATGCTACCTACCACAAATAACGGGAAAGAAAAATGTACTGGCTCCTAGTTTTTTTCTCCATTCCTGGAAGCTGGTCGTGCAAAGGAACCTGTCCTTACCTGCCTGCTTTGGTGATGATCATCTCAGTTCCAATGTCATGGAACCGCTTCCATAGGTCAGCACATTGCAGCTCCACCTGAATCTCTTCCATGGAAGACATGGTGGCAGGCACAGGGCCTGCAGCACCAGGGCCCAGGTCAGTGTGAGTGTCAAAGGAGCAGGAAGTCCGCTCAGTGAGCACCTCAGAGTCTGAACCGGTGCTCTGCTCGGAATCTGCAAAATAAACAAGCAAGTCTTAGGTGAGAAACTTCAGAGCTACTCCCCGCCCATCACCCTAAAAGATGGGAGGTTGGATGGGGGGCATGGGGGGGGG